ATTCTGCACATCTTTTCATTTTGCTGGTTCTCATGTTTGTAATGGCGATGTCAGTATAAATATTGTTGGATCCTTTAATAACACCTTATATGAATGGTCTTAGGCCTCTGTTATCTAGTCTCCCACTCACTGGGTGGTTTCAATTCTCAATTTTTATCTTAAAGATGGGAATCAAATATTTAAAAAATACTACTGTACTGTGTTATGATTAGACCTTCACAATATTGTGTCATTTTCCCTTTTCTGCCTACTGTAACAGGGCGAGAATTACCCATAATGGAGTAAGAATTTCAGTAGTTTAGTTTTTATTCTTTTAGTGCTGTGTTGATCATGACTAATAATAAATAGGGAGTTTGTCGAATAAGTAATAATAGGTAAAGTAGTTTCTGGATGGTAGGAGAGGGCTGCATCATATTATTTTTCAACTCTTAGCTCTGCTCCTTACTGTGTAATACTAAGCAATACTTTAACTCTGAATTTTAGATTTCCCATCAACCAAAATATGAATAATAAGTATTATATAAAGATGTAGACTTAAATAAAATAACACATGTAAAGAGAATGCTCAGAAAGTACTTATTTAATACACAATAGCCCTCTTTTTAATTTCCTATTTTACTTATTTAAGAGTTTTTCAAAGGTCTTTGAAAATTTTATTTATTTTTTAGAGAGAGGGGAAGGAAGGAGAAAGAGAGGGAGAGAAACACCAAGGTGTAGTTGCCTCTCAACTGAGGACCTGGCCCACAACCCAGGCATGTGCCCTGATTGGGAATGAAACTGGTGACCCTTTGTTTCTCAGGCCAGCACTCAATCCACTGACCCACATCTGCCAGGGCTAGTTTTCCATTCTCCTAATTGTACTTTATTTATAGCATATACTCAATAAATTTATGTTGAATGAATAGATTGGTGAGATCTTACTATTACAAATCTGATGTAGGATTTTGAAAGGACTTAGATTACTTTGAAAGAATATAACCTATTTTTTTAATAAAAGTCATTTCATGCTTGCAAAGATAATGATTAATGGAAAAATTATAGCATTTGGATGAATAGAAACTTGTTTGATTGATGATACACTTATAGACAAAGGTGATCATTTCTTCCTGATGACACACCTGTGTGGCACTGGCATCACCTATTCCATGAAATGCCAGGAGTCGACATCTGCACAGAAGACTATTGGCTGCTCCTCTTCACTGGCAACCATGGGAAATAAGAAAATATGAAATTGTAAGTTATTCTCTTTCACCACACTGATGGGAAGTTCAAAAAACCTATACCTGCTTGTTGTATTCTCCCCAGTGATATGCTAGAATTAAAATTTCCAAGGAAACATATCTTCCAAAGTATAGTAGGTATCAAAAGAAAAAATGAGATTTATGATGTATATATTCATGCAGTGGCATTTGTATGATTTTTGAAACCAATGATATATATATATTTTTTAGCAGCACAATCATTCTTTATACAAATGTCCTTTCTACATGCTGGTCTGCATGATAATCACTCCTCATGGGCTGCTGAATTTTCCAACACAAAGGAAACTGAATTAGTTACTTCATTTTACAATTCTTAACCGAGTCAACAGTTCAGATTCTAAACAAGACGCTAAATTGGGACTTGGTATTATTTTAATGAGATTTACATCCCAGTCCTACCCTGGAATAAAGAAAGTTGTAAGGATTACAGTCTATTTTAGGAAAGAGTAAATTACCAAAATAAGTTTCCAATGTGAATTTAAAACTGAATTAGGAATTGTATAGGAAATGCCAGCTTGTTCATTTGTGACAGAAATTATGACAGAAAAATTTTCTCTATTCTTGAAAATATTCTAAGTCAGTATTAGCCTGACTGTTAAATTAAACCACTTTTAAAAGCATATTAGTCCTGATGCTCCTTAAACCTACCCATGTGTAGTTCTTTCAAAAGCTAAAAATAATAATATTAAGCCATTCTTTATTGTGGGGCAAGTTCCTTGCTGGGAGGTATGATTGAGCTGACTTTCATCTTAGTAGTCTTATATGCTTTAAAATGGTACAGAAACCATGGTAAAACACATGTGTTCTCATATTCTCCACCCTCTTAACTGCAAAGAGAATAAAGATTATTTTGTATATTTAAACATATTTATCTAATCTCTGCTCAGTGTAAGAATATATCCATTAAAACAAAACATGGTTTTCATGCCTCACACAATTTGGACAATTCTTAGAGTCCAGTACAATGAACGCTGAGTTGATTGTTCATCCAGAACTTGCTTGTGGCTTCACCCAGGATATATTCCTGCCTTTCTTTGCCCTGTGTATAAGAGAGCATGTACCTGAGGATTTTCATGGCAAAATCATTCCTACTCTCATTTAGACAACATTACCTAAAAATTATTTGTTCAATTGTTCAAATGAGCTTTCTTTAAGAGTGAAATCTTTATGTAAATACAGATCGACATGTTGCAACTGGGTTCTCCTCAAGTATTTTTAACTTTTGGACACCACGTCAAATATAATTATGATCTTACAAATATCCATTTTCAGTTATAATATTCAAACAAAATAATACAGAATTGCTGTTATTTAGAATTACAGAATTCTAAATAATATGGTTGATTACTTAAGGTTAAATTAATCATGCATTGGTTTAATGCTATATCATGCATATTTACTCAAAACAAAGACTATAAAAAAATAGCGTAAACATAAAATTTTATATGTTCCCTCAATTACACAATGCTTGATTTTGTAACAGCTTACATTGTTAGCTTTACAATTTCCTGAACAGGATTATAAAACAATGTCTGTATAATCTCAACTATCTAGTTCTCTATATAGGAATCTTGGAGGTTGCAACTGCGTCCTAACAAGCAAAAAGCTGAACAGACTGAGAAAGTAAACAACTTTCATGGGATCCAGAAGGGAGGCTCAGGCACAGGGCATACTGCTACCTCCGAGACTAGAGAGACAGACAGGTGGACACAGAGAGTAACACCTATCAGAGCAGAGACTCAACAGCAGAAACCGCTGTAGGAACCAGCACCAGGGGAGGAATACCTGCTCTGTCATTATGAGTTGTTGGAGGCTCAGTGTGGACAAGTGCGAGAGTTAAAAACCCCAAGGGATTCACTTACAGGGACGACTCCACAATACTGTGATATTTACCTCCAGGAATTGGACCAGGCTTTATAATCAATATTGGAGAAAAGTCCTCTGAGGCTTCCAGCACAGCACTCTTTTTTCTAACAAGGCCTGCCATCAAGGGAAACTACTAACAAAAGCCTCAATTAAAGGGGTATTATTGAAGACTAACTGGTGGAAGGAAAATACCCAATGCTAACCCCTGCGGCCATCCTGTTCCTCCTAAGGGGGAAAACTAAGAAAACCCTTGTGATATTCACAGTCCAAAGACATAGGCCCATTAAAAACTGGCACCTAATCATAAAACTGTAGAATGTTTCCTCTCTCCTCACACTATAAGGGCCTATTTACAGTGGTCATTTTCACTGAGAATATCATATCTGGCTATCCAGAAAAAAATTACAAGACATACTAAAAGGCAAAACAAATTTGAAGAGATAGAACAAACATCAGATTCAGGTATGGCAGAGATATTGTTTTTATCACATGTGGAATTGAAAATAACATTAATCTGCTGACGTGTCTCATGGGTAAAATAGATAGCGTGCAGGAACAGGTGGGCAATGTAAACTAGAAAGGTGCCCATCCTAATAAGGAACAAAACAGAAATGCTAGTGGTCAAAAGCACTGTAACAAAAGTGAAAATGCCTTTGTTGGGATTATCCATAGCCCGACATAGCTAAGAAAGATATCTGAGCTAGAGGACATAACTATGGAAATCTCCAAAACTGAAAATCGATCCCTCAAGCAGAAATTCAATAAGGATTAAATTCAATAATTCTTAGTGTCCTGGAGATGAAAGAAAAAATTAAGCGATGTTAGTAATAAAATCTTTTTTAAATACTAGAGAGATTTGGTATTTAATGCCACTTAGTAATTGCTAATATTTATTATAATAAATTACATTATTACCCTTTTTACCTTTTCTGTTTCACATTTTCTCAGTTCCAAAATGAGGATATATTTACAAAATAATTAAAATGTTTAATAACTTTTGCTTTAGGCAGTATTTCTCAAGATAAGTTGTTTACAGTATAATAAACTTCCTAAATTCTCTACCCACCCCTGAGAAGCAAAGATAAAGGAGAGAAAAGTATCATGAAAAACATGGAAACCTTATCCTTTGGGACAGCATGGATGATATTATTCTAAGTTTAATAAGCCAGTCAGAGAAAGACAAATACCATATGATTTTACTCCTAAGTGGAATCTAATGAACTATCAAGGAAAATAGAGACAGACTCATAGATGGAGGGCAGGCTGACAGCTGTCAGTGGAGGGGGAGGGTTGGATGGGAGGTAGAGAGACTGAGCAAGAATAAAAAGAGCAAAAAACTGCTGGACACAGACAACAGTGTGGTCATTGCTGGGTGGGGGCAAAGGTGGGGGAGGTAGAGGAGGGCATAGGGGGAATAAATGGTGATGGGTGGTCTGTGACTTGGGGTGGTGAACACACAGTACAGTGTACAGATGATGTGTTGTAGAACTGTGCATGTGAAACCTGTATAATTTCATCAACCGGCATCACCCCAAAAAATTCAATGAAAGGAAGAAAACAAAAGTGAAACTAAAAGGAAAAGTATAACATTGCCCAAATAAGTGCCTGGAGAAAAAACGCATGTAACGCTAAAATCTTTTCTCACTGATTTTAAAAATTGTGGAGAAATAAACTTACACAATCCATTGAAATAGCTGTGTGTAGCAAATTAAAATATTCTATTTGAATGTTGCTGTAAGGATAATACTGTAAAGTTTTGAATATTATATGATGTGGCAAGATCACTGTACTTTTGGGTTGCATGCTTTAAAGTCAGCTAATTTCCTCTTTCTTTCTACCATAAATTGGGAAATGTTTTCCATGTATCTTCAGTGAGCTCTGTGATTCTGAATTTGATCTTCATTCCTGGGAGCAGCAGCAGGATGATGACTTTGACTGGCATCTTAAAATTAGCCACTTCCTGGCCCCAGGCACAGGGCCAGTGGCTGATCACACCTTGTGAAATTCGTCTGGTCATTACATCTTCATAAAGAGCCTGTTCCTTCAGCAGCCCATGACAGCAGCCAGAATTTCAAGCCCAGTCTTAAGTAGAAGGAGCAAAAACTGAAAGCTATGGAAAAAAACCAGAAATATTATAGTCAACTTCTGATAGAGTCAAATATGGAAAATGAAAGGGTCAGGATGAGACCAAAGATATGTTTGGATTTATTCAGCTTAGGATAAGCTGTGAGGAATAGAGAAGGATGAGAGGGAAGGATTGTTGGAACTGTAGGAAAAACTTATTCCATGGATATATTCTATACATACTGGGATTTTGGAAACCATGGAGACATGTCATGGTCATTATCCAGGGCTAAAACAGGAGGCGCAGAATAGCAGTTGTTTTCACTTAGCAAGTTTAGTGCATATTGGACTTATGGGAATTTGAGCATCAAAAAATAAACAACGAGAAATATATATTTAAATATGTCCACAGATTAATATTAGAGATAGTTGAAGCTACAATAAAATGTTTGAAGATGTCTTTGTGGAAAAAGAAAAATTAAACTTGTCCCTAAAAAGAAGTGGGATACTTTCTCTAGGCAGAAAAAAAAATGATTTGGTCATTATCCTGTGGAAATGTGAACAAAAAGTTTATAAAGTGTTAAAATTATAAATAAGGTTATATGGCTCTGAGGGCCAAACAGCCTCACATAATAACTATGTATTTACAGGATCCTCCACTTTGCTTTATTTGTTGTTTGCTGGATGGTTTTTACCCCACAAAAATTCGGGTCAGCTATGTTAGGAACTAAACTTAGCTTTACATATATTGTATTAAGCCTCAGAGTTCACGTCAGAAGAATCTTGTTTTTGAGGAATTGGTAAGTAAATAAGTAGCCATTAATTTATATTCAGAATGAAAAGTGCAGTCTTCATAAGATCCATGCACATGTATTCTCACTGGTGTGTTTCCAAACTGTGAGCACTAAAAGAAAAGCCAGCTGCATCCAGAAAGTTGCTAGCTGACCAGAGAATGAGGCTGGGACACAGACTATGGCACGATTTAATTCTTTTTTATCTTCAAATTCTAGCATTCTCCTGTACCTCTCTCCACAATAGAGAGAGCCCAAACCTGGGAAGGAGACCTATTAAATTGTTGCTCAGGGGCAGCCCCATTGTACCTGCGCCCACGACAGGGGCTTGTTCCCTGTTTCCTGCCGACCACCTGCACATCCTCCACCGTCACAGTCCGAACACATGTTACATCTTGAGTTTGTCTCAGCAGTTTTTCTCAGCGAGCTTAAGTTGGTTTCATAGGTAAACTCTGGGACAGTAAGCTCATTTCTTTCATCCCTTTAGGTACATTAGACAGACAGGTGTTATGCCACCAAGTTCCACAGATTTTGCTTCAAAAGCATGACATGCTTGGATCAGGGTTTTAGAGAAATAACTCAGTTAGCAGTCCAGAATGAATGTAACAGATTATATATACAGAATTATATTAAACTATTTAGTTCAGCAAAAAAATAACTTTTAATCAAATATATTTTGTTTGTTTTGGTATCTTCCAGATTATTTGATACTTTCCTCAAAAATAAAACCCCAAACATACCAGATTTTATATACATTGAGTATCTTAAATTTTGTTGTATTTTTCTTTACTATTTGCTCCCTTTACAAAGTCCCCCACAATCACTACATGTTGTCCATGACCATGAGTCTGTTTCATTTTTGCTCCATCCCTCTACCCTCAAATGCCAGCCACCACCACCCCCCGCCAAGCTGTCAGCTTGCTCTCCATCTATGAGTCTGTCTCTATTTTGCTTGTTCAGTTTGCTCATTAAATGCCACGTATAAGTGAAGTCTCATGGTATTTGTCTTTCTCTAACTGGCTTATTTTTTGAGTATCTTTAAATATGTATCTGAAAATCAGAAATAAATTCTAGTCTTAGAGAGCAAATTAAAAATTAAACACGAAATATGTAAAATTCCATTTTGACTTCTAAGTTTCTCTATTTAGATACATCCTCTGAAGGTGTTCAAAAGACTTTTTTCTTTTCATACTGTAATCACCAAGGTTTTCACCCATTTCTATTTTTTTCCTGGTCCCAGAACTGTAGTCCCTACTGTTTCAAACATTTGTGTGAGAATAATGAAGTGAGCCTAGAAGAAATGTCAAAAATTAATGATGGATGGTTTATTTTATGAATATTTATGACATAGATTTAATACAAAGAAGTAAGAAAAGGTCATGCTGGGAACGATCCGGTCTCACATATGAAATATGTTTATTAGATAAGCAGAGCGGCCTCCCCAGTTTTCATGAATGGTCTGTCACTTGACCTTGAGGAACACCTTCAAGTCAAAAACATCAAATTGGAGGTTTTCTTCCTTTTGAGAAATGGGTGGTAGGAGGAATTCAGACAGGGATTGATGAGGAAGGAGATCAAACCTCTGAGTAACTAGAATTTCCCCGTGGAAAGGCCCCTTCAGAATTCAGTGCTCAGCAGGCGTTCACTCACTCCGGTGCCCGTGTTAAGGTGATGCTGTCACCAGGTGGTCTCCGCAGAAATGGTGGTGTTTAGATGTTTGCTTGTATGAGAACCTGATGGCACCATCCAGAAAGTGGTCCTGAGAAGATAAGAAAGAATTTATGTGATGTAAACACTTGTCTCATGCTCCTTGTCCAAATTATAAGTCAAAACAGAGCCAGTCTGTGGCTGGGTGGGACCCAGACAGACATGCGCCCCTCAGGTTGTTTCCTCTCATGCCCGCTGACGCTGCCTGAGAGTCCGGCCCCTTTTGTTTTGCACTTTAATGAGTGGCGCCACCCTCGGCTGGTTCTCCAGTCCTCCCTGGACAAGGCACCGTGGTCATACAGCACATTCCCCCCAACATTACTGGTTAATAGAAGAAATGTGTGATACTTGAAAGGGTCATCAACTGGGAAATTTGAATAGCGTCATTTACAAGGCTTACCTATTCTTGATGCTCTTTGAAGTGTGCATTGCATAGACTGTTTAATCACATTCTTTACCCTTTCAACACATCTGTTTTTCTTTCTCTAGAGAATAATATGCATTACTGCTAGTGTTCTAATAATGTCTTTTCCTGTGCGAAGAAAACCCACATTATAGTTTTCCCTCATTCACACAAATGACAAGAAAAAGCTTAAAAATCCTCTGAGTTCTTATTGTTTCTAACCTGTACTTTTTTTTCTCTCTCATTTTTTTATTCTCCCCTCCTACGTAATAGTCACTAAAAATATGGGCAAATTTATCTTAGAAATATTGAAATATTTATTAATTTTAACTCAGGAAAAACCTCCCAAAGCTGCTAATCTAAAGCATGCTTTTAGCATTTTGAGTAAAATTTGGGTAATTACTGTTCTGGTGGTTTTGCTATAAATAGTGGAGCCTGGAGGATCTTGTAGGACTAAAAATGTGTTTCCAGTGCAAGAATGTAGTGGTATAAGCAATAGAGTACTTTACTATTTCAGAGAAAATTATTTTAAGTTTCATCAAATTGAATGTGATTGTCTTTAGGCCCTGCTATTTCTTAATCATGAAAAATCTTTTATATAATGCATCACTTTTTAAATCATATTTTATTCCTTTGATAGTAGATGTTAAGGGTTTATCAAGGAATCCTGCCTTCAGAAAACACAGAAAGTAAACTCTTCTCATTTTCTTCAATTAAATTTCTATTTGATCCCTATTGTACTGTCTTCTGTGTATAGCAACATGTGAGTTAAGTCTGGCCTACCTTCCTTGGGTGTTAGATAACTGCAGAGCAATAGGACATAGAGATTTAGTTTTCCTTCTGGACTCTGTGAATAAAGAAGAGGGTAATATGATATAATAAAAAATAAAATGGAATTAATTATATTAATGGTATATAATATTCTCCTTAGTCACAGATAATTTTTCATGATCACATCTATGAAAATGGTTTGGGCCCTCCTCTTGACCCAGGTATCTGTCTCAAACCAAACAAAGATCCCAGTTCACCTCCCTGGAGACTAGGTGACTTCTGGCAGTGGAAGGGACTAACTCCATCTGGTGATGAGGATGTCCGACTCAAATCTGAAGGCAGAGTTGGCAAAGAACACTGGCTGATATTACACTGGACAACACTGTGCTCACGAAGAGTTGTATACCATCCCAGCAGTCCATGAAAGGACTCCTAGTAGTGCCTCTCCCAAAAGGTACATTTTTTTTTTTGCAGGTTAGAAGATGAGAAGTAAAAATGGAAAGGAAAAGGTGTGATATAAATGACTAGTCATTTACTGCTTTCATAATGAAAAAAATCTTTGTATTCTAAAATGTCACCTTTCAAGTCTTTTCTTATGAAATTTTGTTCCAAATTTTCTTCTAACTTTAGTATATTTAGCAGTGTCTAAGTTCTCTGTTTAGTCAGCTTCTTCTTATACCAATAAAATAAGAGAAGAACCCTTTGTTTGTATCTGATACAGAATTGAATGAATTGAATAAAATTCATTCAATAAAATAAAAAAACACCAAGGGCACAATTACTCAATTTTAATTAGATATCATTGTGCTTATGCTCTTTATTGTTTTTAGGCCAACAAACAGTACAATTTGAGTGGCAGAGTTTATGTATTTAAGTAGTTTGGATGATTGACTATGTCCATATACTCTTCAATAATTTGTTTAAAGAATTATATTAAAAGTTTGAGTTAGTAGATGTTCAATATAAAACAAACAGTGACAACACGGTAAAAAGTGAAAATAGCAAGCACCATGAATACATATAATATATTAAAGGTATGAGATGAAAATAAATGCAATGTTTATTATTAAAATGACAAAAGAGCAAATTTTTGTCAGTTGATAATATGACATATATTTATATTTGAACCATGAGGTATTATTTTTATAGTAGCTAAATTATTTATTTTATACTTAATGAAAACAAAAATGTTTTTAAAAGAATAAATTTGTTTGCTTTGGCTTTTAAGATGGTAGATGAAATGAGAAATATTACCATGTCTATTCTTACACTTTCATTTCAAAGGGGGCATTTTTAATTGGACAAAAGAACGTTTCTATATAAATAGTTTGCAGGTGACATCCACTTAAGCAGGTTTTTTGTGTACCATGTTGGCAGCAGCACTGTATGGAATGGCATAGAGGAGAACGAAGGAACATTTCCAGACTGTGTTGAAGAATAAGGATACACATGAGAATGCAATGCAGAGTCACTGCAGGTACTTCTGACTAATCTGCTTCCTCCAGAAACACTTTGCTTTCCATTCCATTATGTGTGGCTGTTTGGGCAATGGGTATACTAGCTCTTATACAGGTCTGATGTTTTTAATAGTAGTTTTTACCATAATAAAAAAATAACCTCAAAACATTTAGATAGTGTGGGAGTAAAGTTTCATGTTGAGTCATTTCAAACTTGAATGAGAAACTGCTAAGTGGGATGCAAAAGGAATAAATCTATCTTACTGGGAATATTAAATTCGAAAATCTGTGAAATCTTAAAAAAAAACTTCCAAAAGGAAAATTAAAAATATCTAGAAAATATTTATTAGTTTTCAAATTAAAGACATACTAATAATACTAAGTTCTTTGTATGTTCTTATGCTATTATGATATTTGATGAATAGAAATAAAAGGTTGTCTGTTCCTTAGAATAATTCAGTTTGATAAGAGGGAACAAAAAATACCTCAACTCTAATGTTAGGTAGACTATAATAAGTACCAGGAAAATACACAAAATATTACAAGGATGCAGAGAAGACAAAAAAAAACATCCAGTTGAGGACATCTAATTTGAGATTTCTTTAGAGGCTGCCCAGAAGTTTGGCACCAATCACACTTGGAGTTCATAGGAAGGAAATGTCCCTTCAGTTTGTAAGACAGGAGTCCAAGCGTGAGCACTGTGGACCAGATGGTGAATGTGGTGGGAGGAGCACCATGGCAGGTCTAGCAGTATGAGATCAGTCAGAGATGGTGTCATGCAGACCATGGAGGTGAACTGAGTGGGGATGGTTTGGCTGAAGCAGGCAACTCGCGTAGCTGAGTATCTGAGATACAATATTACCAAGAAAACAAGGAGCTAAGCTGAATATTAGTTTGCTTTAATTTTTTCCCAAAATAAACATACATTGAAAGGTCTTTTAAAACAAGGAAGGAAAGAAGGAAGGAAGGAAGGAAGGAAGGAAGGAAGGAAGGAAGGAAGGAAGGAAGGAAATACATAAAGAGCTAAAAAGATAATACAGTATTTATGATTTAAAGTACAGCAATTGGTAGGAATGGCTGAAGTAGAAAGAGCCCCTCCCCCCAAAAATCACCAAATGTCTTTATTTATGTTATTTAGAGCATTCTGAAAACTGAGGCAAAATAATTTAATGTTTTTATAACAACCTCAGCTGTAAGGCCTATATTCAATTGCTGCAGATGAAAAATAAAAACATATGGAATTAACATTCCTCTAAACTAAATGCAAGTGCATATGTATATCTGTATGTCTGTATGCATCATGCATTTATATATGGGGGTATATCCTGACTAAATAAAACACCACAACTGCTTCCTTTGGTCTTCATGAAAGTTGGTGCAGGGTTGGCCAATGTCGTGGACATCTAGCAGAACTGTAACAGGAATTGAAAATGTAAGCAACATACATACTTTTACATTTCCTAGTAGTTATGTTTCAAAAAGTAAAATTGATTTTAATAATATATTTTCATTAACTCAACATATTAAAATATTCAGTGCAAAAGTAATATGACATTAATAAAATATTTTTCATTCTCACTTTATATTAAGTCTTTAGATCCAGTGTATATTTTACTTGAAAGAGCACTCAGTTTGGAGTGGCCTTATTTCAGTTGGTCAACAGCCACTCACGGCTAATGGCCACACTGTGAGGCAACACAGGAGGTGACGTGAGCACTCATGGCACTTTCAGGCCTCCCCTGACAATGGGGTTCCATTAATCAGGGTAAAATTTGAGATTTCTCAAGAATTGCAGTTCTATTATTTAAACAGAAGCACAGAAATGTACCCCTAGGCCAAATGTGGAAGCACAAGTACCATGTCCCAGTTGACCGGAGCCTCGTCACCGACTCCCGTGTCACTGGCTGTGCACTGCACAGCTGCTCTGAGACTCCACTTCCTCAACCATAAAGCAAATTTCTCAGGGTGTGGGGCTCTCAAGAATAAAAAGAGGTAATGGCCTATGTAGTTTGTCTAGTCCCATGGCTAGTATACTATAGGCATTTATTATATAAAATCATCTCACTTTATATCATCCTGTACTTTGGGACACCTTTATCAGTATTCCTTAGGCAGTGTAGTCATTTGAGAATAAGCCTCCATTATTTGCATTTTTATCAAAACATGTTTCTAACTTTGGTTTTGACAGCTTTTTTGTTGCAAAGGTCACAAGCATGTGACTATATTATTATTTTTTATTTTTAATATATTTTATTGATTATGCTATATTATATTATAATGATTCAATCTTATCATTTATTGATAACCTCTCCAATTATTTTTTATCCTCACCAGATGACATGCTTATTGATTTAGAGGGAGGAAAATGGAGGAAGAGAGAGAGAGAGAAACACTGACGTGAGAGTGAAACATGGATTGGTCGCCTCTCACATGTGCCCCAACTGGGGATTGAACTCATTTCCCTGAAATACTTGGCAGTAGTTTAAAAGGCTGCTCTACTGATGAGAATTCTGTCATAACAAATCAGTCAGAGTTCTGAGTTAGGGAAATCTGGCTGTCTGTACTTGGCTCTGTAACTTAGTGAATTCTATACATAGTGTTTGGTGCAGAGTGCATGCATTTGAGGTTCAAAGACATGAACTTGGATCTCGGCACTGCTTACTGCCTATGCAGTCAGTCACCCGATCTACTGAACCTCCCTAATTCTTACCTTTCTTATCTGTAAAAATGGGATTATTTTAACTTACTTATAAATGATTTGAGAAAATAATTGAAATAACATATTTTTAAAATACTTGGCTAATATAGTTGGTTTTCAGTTATTTCTCCATTTTCTGCAACTCCTGCTGGGGGAGACTATGAAATTTAAATTACTAGTTTAAATTTATTAGAAGCATATTGCCTACTTGCTGGTTTTTCTTTGTCACATTTCATTCATTGCTCAAAGCAGTGTGTTAGACCCTTGCTGCCCATGTTCCTTTCAAAGGAACTACTCTCACCAAAGTCCCAAAATATCTTATTGCCAAATTTTCTGATTTTATTTATAATAAGCAATGAAAAGAAAATAAATAGATCTGAAATGCACAGAAGTTCATATCTTGATTGGCTATGGTATACTTGGGGAGAGTAAAAAATAAAGATAGAAACATACTTCTCAGAATATTTTCCAAGTAGAATACCTCTTGGTTTTAATACTCACATTCATAGAATGCATGTATCTCTTCTTACTCTGTTTTTTTTTTGGGGGGGGGGCAGAGAAAGAGATAGTGGTTATATTGAAAAATGCATTTATATTACCCCCAAATCACTAGAATACTGCTTAAACAAAATATTGTGCAGGAAAAAAATCTCAAGTTTATTGCAAATACAACTGCTAGACAAAAAAACGTTTGAAATGTTATGCAGTGGTAATACAGAGGCTGTCAATCATGGATGTTGCCATGGTTAGCAGAAGCATCGCAGCAGCAAAGGCACCATGAGCCATTATTTCATTGTGCATTTGTCTTGAGTATGCCTCTCCTGTGTCTTCCATATGTAGCCATGATCTTGCTTAATGTGAACATTAAGTGCACCCAGAATTGAGAAAGTGTTGGGGAAAATTGTGAAGAGGGAAGCAAGGCAAATGAAAAAGAGATTAGAATGTAAGGAAATCTAAAAAGATACATGTTGACCAAGGACATCTGGCTTTGAAGAAGAGGCAGATTAAAAAACTAGTGGAAGAACCCTTAATAGGGGTATCAAACTCATTTTCACTGGGGGCCACATCAGCCCCATGGTTGCCTTCAAAATGCTGAATGTAATTTTAGGATATATAAATGTAACTACTCCTTTTGAGATTACATTCATCCCTGTGAAGGCAGCCCTGAGGCTAACGTGGCCCCCAGTGAAAATGAGTTTGACACCCCTGCCTTAGAATATGTCATCGAGGGATTCTCTCCTGAGTCTGTTTATGTAAACATGTAATAGAACTCTAAGGGGGACAACCGGCGAATCAGAC